GTTTTTTGGTTTTTGGTTTTTTGGTACCAGGGATCTCTCTTGCAAGGCAGACATGGTGCCACTGAGCTAAATCCCTGGCCCAGCAGTGCTTTTAAAATGGCTTTATAAGAGCCAATATATCTAAATTTCTCTGAGCTTTCCTGCTTTATTCTGGACACACTGGCCTTTATTGAACACAAAAGAATCCTCTGCTCTTGTAAAACTGTGCAGCATCCTTCCTCCTTCCTTAAGTCCTTTACTCAAATGTCATTTTCTCAGTAAGATCTTTATTGATTGCTTTATTATTTAAAATTGCACACAGTTTGCATTCCCAATCTTCTTTCTCTGACCTTTTGTTGTTGTTGTTCCTTGTTTTTTGAGCCAGGGCCTCACTGTATAGTTTAGGGTGGGCTTGCACTCACTGTGTAACCCAGGCTGGCCTCAAATGCATGGTGATCCTCCTGTCACAGGCTCCCAAGTGCTGGGACTAGAGGTGTGTGCCACCACACCCACCTCTCTGATTTATTTTTATCCATTTTATCACTACCTAATGTATTTTACTTTGTTTATTGTCTCTCCATTAAGGGCAAAGATTTGTCTTGTTTTGAATAGTACCTACTATAGCATAGGCACTACACAGATAGCTGTTGAATGAATTAAAACAAAATACACAACAAAAGCTGGGCTTGGTGGTACATGCCTATAATCCTAGCACTCTGGAGGCTGAGGCAAGAGAATTGTTAAATTCCAGCCCAGACTGTGTAAGTTAGTGACTTAGCAAGACCCTGTCTCAAAATAAAAATAAATAAAATAAAATAACATAAAATAAAAAGATCTGGAGATAGAGCTTAGTGCAAAGCTTGGGTTCAATCCTCATTACCATGCGCAATCATACACGGAACAAAAAACCTAGAACTTTTTAATGCTAATGACCATTTTAAGGAAAATAAATATTTTTTTTTCAAACTAGAGAATTTTGGTGGTTCTAGTGTAGGACTTTTTTTGGGGGGGTGGGGTGGGGGTAGTATGGGGGATTGACCCTAGTGTCTTGACACTGAACTAAGACCCCAGACTTTCTTTTATTTTTCCTTTGAGATAGGACTTCACTGAGTTGGTAAGTTGGTTGGGCTGGGCTCCAATTGTGTTCTCACTGTTAGTATTATTTTTGTAAACATTATTTTGGTATACTATTTCCTTTTTCCTATGTATTTTTAATAGAATGAAATCAAGTTGAATATATCATTTTATCACTTGGATTTTATTCATTTTATATTATAATGTGAAATTTTCCCATGTACCAAAATATTAAGAACCTGATCT